TATTGATCAGTCTACATCCCCTTCAGAAGCCTGGTTGGGGAGCAAGCGCCGCTGCTACCATCGCAAAAAGTCACTTTCCAAAACCTTTTCATTCAGTGTTCCTCACTGGTGGAATGATCTTCCCATTACTAAGCAGACTGCTGATTTACTACAAACAAATTTTTTCTTGCCCAGATCTGGCCCACACAATCAGCTTTTGCTTGGCCCACATGCCACAGTGAATTATGGTCCATGAATTGACCAATTCTGGCTTCTATTCAAGGGCTAAACATGGACCATATCTGCCAAGTTTCAGTCAAGTTAATAACCCATAACTGGGCCAGATATGCGTGTCATGACTGAAATAGACTTGTAACCTGATTGGTAGAATTTTTTCTTTACTCAAAAATAATTTAAATGTATTTTAAATGTGGGTCAAGATTGTGTGGCCCACATAAAAATTGTTAACATCTGGGCCAAATACTATAATGGATATTCGGTCCAAGTCTTGTGTGCCACCTTAAAGGTGGTGCCACCTCTGTGAAATTTCATTCAAATTCATTTTCAAATTCAATGTTAAATTAAAACATTAAAAATTTCATAACAATTTTTTAGGATTTTTTTTTATTTGACTGTGTTTTAATCAAAAGCATATAATTGGAATAAACTGAATCATGAGATAAAAAGCAAATAGTGAACACAGACATGTTTAGCTACTAATTTGGTCTCAATTAATGATGATTAGAATATTAAAACTCTAATCCTCTAAATGCTTATTATTATTAACATTTCTGTATTTGATGCATTACTTTTTTATGATGTAGATCTCTCATATTTGGGACAAATGTCTGCTATATTTTATGTACTTGTCATTCAGTTAAAGAATGTCATTTAGACTTGTCTGATGACAAAAATAACTGAAAAATAATTAAATGCCAAAAATGAACCTTCTAAAGGAATCGGTTCAGAGATTCGACCTTGAAGTTTCAAGATTTTTTTTCTGAACGTGCTTGAGAAAATACAATTCTCTTACGCCACCAGCTGGTGACTTATAATACTGCATTTTTTGTGTACTCTGATATAACAATATTTCGTAGATTAATTAATAAACAGTCCTTTGGCAAGACTAAATGGACTAAACGAAAAGTTATTTATTAATAATAATAATAATAATCTTGTTAATATTATTTTATTAGTCATCTTGAGTTCATTGTCAAGACTAAATAAAAGAAAATTAATTTTGTTATTATTTGCTTGCTTGCAAGTGCCTCTGACTGGGTGTCACGCGCAGAGCGTCGCCGATTCACCGGTGCTCCTGCACGTCAGCATCTACCCCCCAGTATGCTAAATTGTGCAGCTGCAGAACACACCAAGATTTCAAGCTTAAGCCCCAGATGTATTGTCAAAAACCCCTGATCTCTTGTAATATGTTGCACTTAAATAAAATTATGTTGTATAACATTAATTTTGTTATCTAAGTACTGAAAATTACCACATACATTACGAACATTCCACCTAACGCAGCGTTTGTGTCGGGTAATTAAATCGTCAGCTGTTCAGCAGTACCTGTTTCTACCGGCAGGTGGGAGTGGCTCTGTTGTCACATGGTGTTAAGAAAATCCCGCCACTGCACTTCATTCATTCATTATTTTGAGGAGCTGAAGCTAATGAGGTAACTTAATAATACAACTCTTTCGCGAAACTGAATAGTTTTAACTACTGATGAAGCTTATTTGTTTCCACAGTATAAAATGTGTGTAGTTTTGGTGAAATAAAATAACTATAATCAGTCAAATGTGCATCATATCAATGTAAATACATGCGAGGTAGTCAAAAAACGTAAATTGTACTAGCTTTCTAGATATGATATAGATATCTAAGCATATTTATATGATATTGCAAGTCACATCTGTTTCTGTAATAGTTAAAGCACAGTGAGTTTATGCATCTAGCTTATTGTTATATAGCTATATTCTACTGTAAAATGCTATGTCAGTTAGCATCGAATTATAAATCGACTTTCTTATGAAAATACCTAAAATGGTTGGAAGAACACATACAGTTGAAGTCTGAATTATTAGCCCCCGTTTATTTTTTCCCCAAATTCTGTTTAACAGAAAGAAGATTGTTTTCAGCACATTTCTAATCATAATAGTTTTAATAACTCAACTCTAACTGATTTATTTTATCTTTGCCATGATGACAGTAAATAATATTTGACTAGACATTTTAAGACACTTCTACACAGCTTAAAGTGACATTTAAAGGCTTTAAAGGCAGGGTAGGGTAATTAGGCAAGTTATTGTTTAAAATAAAATTATTGTAAAAAATATATCTTAAAGGGGCTAATAATTTTGACCCTAAAATGTTTTTTTTTTTTTAATGTAAAACTGCTTTTATTCTAGCTGAAATAAAACAAATAAGACTTTCTTAAAAAGTGAAATATTATCAGACATAGGCTACTGTGAAAATGTCCTTGCTCTGTTAAACATCATTTGGGAAATTTTAAAAAAAGAAAATAAAATTCAAAGGAGGGCTAATATTTCTGACTTCAACTGTATAAAACATTTATTGTTGCAGTCGAGTAAATGGTCAGTTAAAGCCTTTTTATGTTTATTCAGATCTAATTTTCATTCTACTACAGCAACAGCTGGATGCCTTCACCCATATTAGGGATTTCCTAGAATGTTCTACTACTTTTGTGAGGCATATATGGAATTTCTGCTCAAGTATGAATAAAACAGGCATTACATGCATTTAAAGTGCTACAATGCCCACATCACCCTATTTTGAGGAAAACTGAAAAACATTCCCTCTGAAGAAATTTAAAGTAAACATATTTCTAGCATATAGATCTTTATTTTTATTTTTGTAGTCAACTATTTTTGATAGAATTGTTATTATATAAAAATAGTAGCCTATTGAATATCAATATTTTGCAAGGTATTAAATTTAGAAATTCCAGTATCTTGACAACACGACACCTCAGTTAATCACTCTGTCCAAATGAACATGTCTGTAGCTTTGTATTACATTGGATAACAACTCACACTATAAAATAAATTATATTTTTAGATTTAAAGACATGCAGAAAATACCATTTTCAAAAAAACAAACAGAAACTGCAAATCAGGAAGAGATAGGAGGCTCAAGAGGTATGATATGGCTCATAACAGACTAGTAAATGAGAAGTGGGTTAATTTATCAATGTTTTTTTTCTACCTATTTCCTATATTCTTTGGGGCTAAGCCCCTTATCCCTTTTCGACCCTAGCAACGCCCCTGGTTCGAGGCAGACTGCGTGGATCAAAGTCGAGGTACAAGGCAGGGTTCAGGGCAGGCAAGGCAAGGCAAGGCAAGGCAAGGTCAAGGGACAGTCCAGGTAATAACGGGGAGATCAGGCAAGGATATGAACCCTCAGTAATGTCAGCTAGGGCAGAACAAGACTTCGCACTGTAGTAAGTGTTTGGGCTGCTTATAAGTGTGTGCGTGGGTGATCAGTGAGATGTGCTGCAAGTGTGTTGCAATCAGTGTATGAGGGTGATGTAATGTTAGAAGTCCGCTAATGGTGACCTCTGCTGGCCAGCGAGGGGAATGACTGGGACCGAGTCGGTGACAAAGTGACTGTGTTTACTTGGACATCAGTAATTGAATTATTTGACAAATTAAATGGTGGACTTTAACTGCAGTTTGGCTCTTTCATTCAGGAATTTTATTCATGCCCCTCGTGACAAACGAGATATTTGATTCGAGGAACTGCTCTAAGGTAATAGTTTGGTTGTGGTGCTAACATGTTTACACATGATACTATACGAACTAACTTTGCCATCTGAATAAACAAATATCACTGGTCGCTCACTTACCAAATTTGTAGAGAGGGCAATCACCAGCAACTAACTTTAGAGCCGCGTTTTTATTAAGAGACGAGCAGCAAATCCGCATCTCACCATTTGCAGACGAGAAAAGCTCTCGGGTAAACAATGCTCCTTAGACATGTATTTCTATGGCGCGTTGCGTGCACTGTAATCCACACGTGAGTCCATAAAGCGCGCTGATTGGCTTGAACCAAGCGTTACTCATGCATTAATGCAGCACACTCAGACACGTAATAGTTACAGACGTCCAGTCTACATGGTGGAATACACGCTAAGATCTCATGGCCGTGACGCAGCTTCAAAAATTTGTTTCAAACCGGATGTACGAATTTGCTCGAAATTATGAAAAACAACCAATTTTCACTATTAGGGAGATATATGTGTCCTAATAGTGTTTTTAGCAGTGTGGGACACAAATACGACTGTCAACAGCTCAAAAAAATTGTTTTGGTGTTTCATGACCCTTTAAGTATATATTTTAGCAAAAGAAAAAAACAAACTTACAGTTGAAATTATCTGACTTAAAGTCAGAATTATTAGCCCCCCCTGATTATTTTCCCCCCAATTTCTGTTTAACGGAGAGAAGATTTTTTCAACACATTTCTAAACATGATAGTTTAATAACTCATCTCTAACAACTGATTTATTTTATCTTTGCCATGATGGCAGTAAATAATATTTTTTTAAGACACTGCTATACAGCTTACAGCTTAGGTTACCTAGGCAGGTAAGGGTAATTAGGCAAGTTATTGTATAACAGTGGTTTGATCTGTAGATTATCTAGAAAAAATATAGCTTAAAGGGGCTAATAATTGTGTCCCTAAAATGGTGTTTAAAAAATAAAACCTACTTTTATTCTAGCTAAAATAAATCAAATAAGACTTTCCCCAGAAAAAAAAAACATTATCAGACAAACTGTAAAAATGTCCTTGCTATGTTAAACATCATTTGGAGAAACAATGAATAAGTGCTATAGGCAAGTTTCAGGTCTGTAAAGTCTAAGAAGGAAAGTATTAGTAATTTTTTATTTTATTTATTTTATTTTTTTGAGTACAGTTTGTGGTATATCCAGAGGCAATTGCAGATTAGGAAGTGAAGTGGAGAAGTGAAGTGTTAAGTGTTAAATTGAAGACATTATTATTAAGTGTTAAGTGTTAAATTGAAGACATTTATTATTTATAGAAATATAGGACTACAAAACAGGACTTCTTAAAATAGCACTCATATGCATTAAGTATATATTTTAGCAAAAGAAAAAACAAGCGTATATACATTTTGGACAAAATTAAGTTTTAAATTGAAGACTTTTATTATTTATAGAAATATAGGCCTACATGCTGTAACAAAAACAGGACTTTAAAATTGTACTCATATGCATTAAGTATATATTTCAGCGAAAAAAAAAGACAAACTTGTATACGTTTGGGACAAAACGAAGTGCTAAATTTAAGACTACATGCTGTAACAAAAACAGGACTTTTATGAGTGTTGATTAAAAAAAGGAGTAATTTTGCTTGGCTACACAAGATAAGGCAACACAATGTTTTAGATAAAAAATAGAAATGTAAGCTTATTCTAGAAATGGATCAATATAATGTGAGGCTATTACCAGTGTGAAATTAAAATATGAAATTGTACTGATACTTTTTACTTAACACATGTTTGAGGTACAGTAGTCAGTATTTCAGCTTTTGTGTTCAGCACATGAAAGAAAGTCATAAATGTTTAGCACCACTTGAGGGTGAGTAAATGATGAAGAAATTTAAGCATATTTCTAAAAACCTTATTGGAAAAAAATGAATAGAAAAACTTCTTGATCAGGTGCTGCAGAAAAAAAGGACATGCACTCCACTGCTACATAGTATTTTAAAACATATTATGATTACTAAAGGAAATAACATGCTTGCATAGATGTCAAGAGATCAAACTAAAACTGCATTAGCAACATCATCTCACTGCAGTTTCCCCACATTTAAAGAGCTGAGGGTCACATCACGGTAGATGCCAATGCCTCTGATCTGGTCGAGCTCTTGGATCCGATGCTTGAAATTCATAAGGTGTGATCCGTTTACTGTCACTTGAAATTCAGTGTTGGTGCATAAGATTTTCATCTGAAATTAAAAACAGATGCTATCAATTGCATATACAAACTTAGCAAACATGGCAGATGTCAAATGCAACCCCTTTCAAAAGAGCTTTGTCTCAAAATATATTTGTTTTATTGATGCTGTTTCAGGAATTCTTTTACCTCTGTTTCCACACTGACATCCAGCTATCTGATATTGTTTCCCATAGTAATTGTGTTTGTTGCACAAAAGTGCTCAAGTGTGTGAGCTTTGTATGATTACAGTTGAACCACTGAAGTTACAAGGATTGTTTTGACAATGTTTGGCTCCTTTTCTGAACTTGAGGGAGCTTTCGAATTTCATACAAAATATCTTAATTTGTGTTATAAATAGGAATGAAGATCTCAGCATTGGAAGACATACGGGTGAGTGATTAATTACAGACTTTTCACTTTTGGGTCAAAATAAAACTAGTGAAATATAAAATAAAAGAAATGTTTGGTGTCATACTCACCTCAAAAGGCATTCCTCTGAAAAAATGGAAGGAGGAAACCCCACGCTCTTCTTTGCCCCAGATGGATCCAATCAGACTGTTACACCCAATCCTTGGATTTCCATCTTCACTGAAGCTAACGTTTACATGACATGCAATGTCTGGGCCTTTACTTAAATCAACAACAAACCTATTTAGAAGACAAAACATGTAATTAGATGCCTGAAATACACAGGGGTGATAAAGAAGAAGACTTACATAAATTATTGATGATAAAAAATCAGGCCATGTTCATTGTTTTATATATCACAATAGAATTGTCATGATACTCCAAATACAACAGACATAGGGTAGTGCACAGCATTGTTGTTTATTGACCAATAAAGTGCAATTGAATTTAATAATGAGAAAAGGTAGGATCCGGACAGTAATACACCATGGTCGGACATCCATGGTCTTGTGAAATGATAGTTGACATTATGGGCAAAAAGATGTGTCTTTTTAATATTTCACTTGACTTAAAAAGGGAGCAAATCCCTTTGCTTTTAAAGCAAAGGATTTAAACCACAATAATTTATTATTCGGGCAGTGTATTTCAAAGTATAGGACCTCCTTTTGCAGCCAATACAGCATTAATTTTGACAGCATAAAATGACAGATACAACACAGTGGCCAGAAGTATTTTTAGCCAAACTTTCTTGCCGAATAGTGGGCTCTTGATACATCACAAGACTTGGTGTCTTGGTCACATCGAGACGCACCAACAATGTGTCCTCTTTTGAACGCTGATATTTTACTTTTAATGCTCTTTGCATTGCAATATTTAGAGCAAAACAATTCTATTACTCCGCTGATTAAACCTTCACACTTTGCTCCTACTAGTGGAATTTTCAATCAATGGCTGGTCAAATTTAGCCATCAAACCTCCAACACTAAGTTGACCAGTGTTTCAGTTTTATTGTCCATCCATTGTAAATATTAAATGTAATATGTGTCAGTCATACACCTATGATTTGATTAATAGTTTTTAAAACATTCCGGTAGCGGATGTACCCTTGTTCCCCAAAAGAGGGAATGAAGACGTTATGTCAGAATGACAGTATTGGGGTTCACTTAGAAGACCAATCACTAAAATGTATGAAAACTGCCAATGAATTGAAGTACTGTGTGCTAATGCTCAGAAGAAGACTACACTCCTTGTTGAGTGCACTCTCACCCCTGGGGACATGGCTTCCCCTGAGTTTAGAATGCAAGGGTGATTGAATCCACAATCTATTGGGCCAACCTCTGTTTGGATATGGCGTTTCTCTTTTGCCAACCACCAAAACAAATGAGGAGCTGCTTAGAAGTTCCCCTTCATGGGAACTCCAACGTGCGTCTGGCTAGATGATCAATCACTCTGAGAAGAAAGAAAAAGGGCCAATGAATGCCAAATGAGTGAGCAGAGCTCGGCTCTGCAGGTGCGAGTGATTAGTCATAAGTGAGATATACCAGTAGCGTCTGCGGAGCAAGCATCAGATTCTTTGCTTCAGACCTCTCACTGACTATGTTTACATGGACATCAGCAATCAAAATATTTGCCTTGATTTAATTAAGACAAGGCAATTAAGGTGTTTACATGAGTTGCTTTTTGAATGTTCCTTTAATGATCCCGTTTTACATGGTATAACACATAATTCAATGCGTCACCACGCTATCCGCATTTCCTCCAGAGTTTCATATAATTTCAGATGTTTCATCTTTAATTTGTCGACTTTAACTGCAGTTTGGCACTTTCGCTATCATTCAGGAACATTTCATGCATGCCCCCCATAACAAACGAGATATTGGATGCAACTATGAACTGCTGGAAGAGTGTTGTTTTAATGGAAGTTCATACTGCATGCTGAATGGTAGAAAAAACCTCAGCATTTTACGATGCAGGTGTCTGTGGTCTGCACTGACTCGGTAGGTGCAAAGAAAAGTCAAATAGCCGTGTGTGTGTGTGTGTGTGTGTGTGTGTGTGTGTGTGGACTTTTTTGTCACAAATCGCGGCAAAAAGTCCTACATGATGGTAATAATTTGATTAAGGTGTATACATGTCTATACTGCACTTCAATAACGCGACTAATATCGTCATACTCCATTTGTCTTAATTCGATTTCTCTTTGATTCGATTATGACCTTAATCGGATTAAATGAATCAAAAATTGCTTTGTCTTAATCACATTAAAATCAAATTATTGGTGTTCATGTAAACATTCTGACTAAGAAATAAGAGCTCCTGATCTGCATCCTGATTTCTCCAAGAAACTAGTTTCCTCACCAGTGCGGGTGAAGATGTAACAGCGGTGGTCGAATTGACGTACTCTAGCATTAGGGTGCGCCACCCCTGTTGTTCCCTGCAAGTCTGTTAGCACAATGGCAGGCCTGAGGATTACAGTGGGGGCTAATCCGTTGCCGTCATTCCTCCTCAGTGCGATCTGTCCGAGCTTCGAGTGAGGGCGCTAGTTCATCATCTAGAATGGCTGTGCTCTCATTAGATGACACCAGGGACCAGATGTCCATCGCTGCATCGGAGGGCCGGCTAACATGCTCTGATGATGATCCGGACCCACTGCCACCATACGGGGTTGTTAGCGAGGCTCCGGATTTAAAATCGGATATGTTGTACACAATTAACACATTAATACTGATAGTCAGCAATAATGCTTTAACAAAACCCTGCTGAAAAAAACCATCTTAAACTAGCCTAGGCTGGTTGGCTGGTTTTAGCTGGTTGACCAGGCTGGTTTTAGAGGGGTTTTGGCCATTTCCAGGCTGGTTTCCAGCCATTTCCAGCCTGGGTTTAGCTGGTCAGGCTGGGAGATGACCAGCTAAAACCAGCTTGACCAGACTAGCCAGGCTGGGAGCCCAGCCAAAACCAGCTATGTCCAGCTTAAACCAGGCTGGTCAAGCTGGTTTTAGCTGGATTTAGCTGGTCATTTTCCAGCCTGACCAGCTAAGACCAGGCTGGAAATGGCTGGAAACCAGCCTGGAAATGGCCAAAACCCCTCTAAATCCAGCCTGGTCGACCAGCTAAAACCAGCCAACCAGCCTAGGCTGGTTCAAGCTGGATTTTTCAGCAGGGAAAACTACTAATGAAAATGAAATACCTGAAAATAATGAAAATTTATGCTTGAAATCTTACCTGTTTTACATATTCAATCTAGTTTGCGTATATAAGCCTTTTTTAATAGTTTAACTGCAATCCAAATGGATAAACTTTTTTTCGTGTGAATCAAATGTATATATATTTTACATACATTCTTTCTGAATGTATGTAAAAACAGTGGGGGCTAATCCGTTGCCGTCATTCCTCCTCAGTGCGCTCTGTTCGAGCTTCGAGTGTGGGCGCTAGTTCATCATCTGGGATGGCTGTGCTCTCATTAGATGACACAAGGGACCAGATGTCCATTGCTGCATTGGAGGCTCCGGATTTAAAATCGAACATGTTAGCCATGTTATCCTGGGCTGCTTCGGCCGTAAGACTGGAGATGGCTTGTTCGGCTCCGCAAAGGATGTCTTAGTCTCTCACAGCCAGAGCCTACACCGCTGCGAGCCAGGCTGTTTCCGCTCTGCACGCTATGGCCACCTATCAACACTGCCAATCAAAGAAGTTGGCCAAGATGCAAAAAGGTGGTTCTTCCCTGTCTTAATACACAAGCTTCGCACAGCAACCGATTATGCTCTCATAACCACCAGATCGGCTGCCCGTGCCATCGGTTTTATTACACAATGTAATTACAGAAGACTCAAGTTTTTGAATAAGAAAATTATCAAAAGTCTTTTTTGAATAAATTATATTTGTCAAATCTGATTCAAGTCATTATGCTAAGCTACACTAAAATTGACCACGAACGAGAACAAGAAGTCAGCTATAAAATAGTTCAAGTCAAAGGTTTGATATAGAGATTTGTAAAATGATTTTAATAAATCTACCTTTTTTAATTTCATACATTTCAACAAACTGAATTGTTCTATAGCTAAAATTATTTAAATCATGGGCATACAATTAAATAATATTGTCTGTACACAATTAACACATTAATACTGATAGTCAGCAATAATGCTTTAACAAAAAACTATTAATGAAAATGAAATACCTGAAAATAATTAGAATTTATGCTTGAAATCTTACCTGTTTTACATATTCAATCTAATTTGCGAACATAAGCCTGTTTTAATAGTTTAACTGCAATCCAAATGGATAAACTTTTTTTTCGTGTGAATCAAATGTATATATTTTACATACATTCTTTCTGAGTATTAAGTGATTAATTACAGATCATTGTTAATCTTGTGTAGGGAAATTATTATTCTGTACTGTGATTACTAAAATCTGAAAAATATTAAGTGGTATTACTGATTACAATCATTTTAGAGTCTTTTAATTTATCATCAACTGATTTTTGTTCTAAACAAGTTACACTAAATCACATTTTTGGTGGAATATATTTACTTTGACCCATACTGGTGTGTGCTTTTCTCTTACTGGTTTGCATCAGCATTGACTTTTCCATTGATGGTAATGATCATCATGTTATAGACTCCATTGTCTAGTAGGTATTCACATGGCACAGTCTTGCAACAGAAACAAAAATATACACAACATTTAAAACTAGGCATTCAAACTGAGTAAAATACATTTATGTTCAAATTTAAGAAGAGTAAAACATCTCACAAGCACTCTTGGTTTTTCTTCAGGAGCATCATACAGGAAAGTTTGTTGTGCAGGATCAGGACAAACTAAATAAATAGAATTAATGAAGAAATAAATTGTGCAGTTAGACTTTTTAAAATAGTCATTTGCAATAAGTATAATATAATAAGTAGTAATTTGAAATAAGTATAAGTAATTGTAGATAATGAATAAATTACTGAATATAATTGGCCTAAGATTTTCAAACTATTAATTAATGATAAATTATAAAGAATTAAGAGTTAATTATTAGTCACAAATTTAATGTGAGCAATTGTCTGTTTTACTACAAAAACTACTCAACTATCAACTGCTCTCAGCTGTTCAAATTGATTTTAGCATTTTTGGAAAATTAATTTTCCCAATACTGCCTAAACCAGTTCCAGTAAAACCATGATTATGGTTACTGGTTATGATTATAATTATGATAACTTAGTAAACATTTACTATCCTTACCTGTTCCAGCAGCATTCATGCTAACTGAAATTCCTGGGACTCAAAAGGAACTTAACTTAATACTTAATACTTAATAGAAACTTAATACTGTGCAATCCAGGACATTTTTAATAAGAAATAAGCCTCCCAACTTCCGTCTCATCAGACATGGAACTATGCCATCAATCTGCTATCTGGTGTCAAACTACCTAGAGCAAAGAATTTATCTCCTGTCCATTCTGAAGAGCAAGGCTATGGAGGTGTATGTGCAGAAAGCATTACATCAAGGATTTATCACTTCATCATCTTTACTAAATGCTTTGAGCTTCTTTTTTGTGTGTAAAGAAAGATGTGTTCTTTGGACCTGCATCGATTATCATCTGATGAAGTTTCAGATCGTACAGATACTCTATCTACTTCTCCTGGTCCCACCAGCTCTGGAATAACTCTGCAGGACATGCATCTACTTCATACTGGATCTGCAGAACACGTACAATCTCATTTGTATTAAGAAAAAGGAGATCAGTGGACGCCTTCCTTAGTCCTTCCAACCACTAAGAATGCTGGGTGTTGCCAGGTGAGTGTCCATCTCATCAACAGTTTTCCAGACTTTTATGAACGAGGTTTCCAGGGGTTCCTCCATTGCTTTTTCATATTGTACATTGATACTTATCAGAGCCATCTTATTGTATCTCCTAAAGGGCAAGCTGAAACCCTCTCCTGGACAACTGAAGCCTTTCTCCAGTTAAAAAAGAAATGTAATATGGCTCCCTTCTACAACATCTAGACTCCTAACTAATTCTGGGCAATAAATCGGTATCTGTATTTATTCACCTACACCACTGTCAATATTGCTAAAAAAAGATTTCAGTAATATTCAACAATTATCGATACTGAATTATATGAAACATTATGTTATTATTTTATGACTATTTTATCACCCGGCTCTAACCTTAACTTTCCTTTTCACACAATTAATCTATGTGATATCTTAACCCCCCCGCCCCCCTGAATCTAAGAACTGTAAATACGATGCCCCCAGCTACATAAAATGGTGTGAGAAGCTACCCCTGGAGAAAGGGATGCTGTCAGGATTCCACCATCTGATGTTCCTGAGTTCCACTATTTCTGAGTTTATCTGAGTTCCTTTTAAAATGTTCTTTTTATGTTCCTGTTTTACATGTTTCAGTACTTAAATTGATTAACGTTATTACATGTTTTACAACATGATTTTTAACTCAACTGAATGGGCCAATTTTAAAGTTTGCTTTATGACATTGTTCGAGGGTGTTTTGTATGATGTTCAAAGCTCTTTCTTGGGAACGAGAGGGCATGCCTGGGAGAGCACAGGGTCGAAGTCTGTCTGTCACTGAACATATGGCATTCAGTATGGGGTGCAGGGACATCAGAGCATAAATGGTGGTGGGGCTAGGTCAGAAATTAGTGAATTGCGGCATATGTTGCTGAAGCAGCAACAGCAACTGAATCAGTTAGCCAAGAGTATGGCCTAGTTTCACAATTATCTGTGCAATTTGCAATGACGTAAACCTAATGCAATCATTTGTAAAAGATATCACCAGCCGGGCCTGAGATTGTTGTGGTTAGCGAGAGTCTGTGCACCATCCGTGCACCATTAATTTTGATCTGTGGGAACATCTTAGATCATGTCATGATTACAGTATCAAGCTGCAAATGGCCTTTCAATTCCTTATATTGGTAATTCAAAATTATGTGTAGAGCTTTGTGGGTGAGTAGTTTAAGACTGTGGTGTGCTGGTTGTCAGGGACCCTCCTGGTGGCATGTGTACTCAAGTTCCTAGAGTATTGGGTATGAACATTTGCTTCTACCGGGAGCTCTTTGGCCAGCATGGCACAGGCCTTTTTCACAGTATTTACATCAACATGAGGCTTCACCAGTTTCAGACATTGAGGTATGAGTTAAAGTGTGTGGATGTTGGGCATGTCGCATCCCATTGCCACAACCTGCTCATTGCCGTATTCGGGTAGTGTGGGAATATATATATTTTCATAATCTTGTTCTAAATTAACAATAATCTATATATAATAAAAATGTTTTTATTCTTTGGTTTTTAATTAGCTCATTTCATTTAAAACTCTAGTTAGGTTGTGACATTAAACATTTTGTTTCCTGAGCACAGGCTGAGCCAAAGTGATACAGATGATATAGGCAGAGTCTTAACAACTGTGCCCTTGTGTTCGGGTGATGCTTTCAGGCCAAAGCAACCCTTTTGTTGATAAATTTGATGAGGTCAGGGCTGGGAAAATGTTGTTAACCTTGCTGACCCCAATACTTAATTTGATCAATGCTACTACTATTATGTTGATGTGATAAGGGCTGGGAAAATGCTCTCCTAAGAGAGATCTCCAAATGGGTATGAGAGGGGGGCAGGATAGAATTAAGATCCACGTCTCGCACCTCCTAGATGATGAGGCAATGCTTTCCCAGTGCGCCGCCATCGCCGCGTCCTCAGAGCGGGTATGATCATAATCCCGACCCCTAATTGCGGAGGGGACAGTGATCTGGCATGTTCGGGGATTCTTCTCGGAGAGAAGTATACCACACAGCAAATTGACTCTACTTCAGGGCTGAGGCATGCCTTGTAGAGGGTGCTCTAGCCTGAGTGACAGCGTTAACCACCTAATCGGTAGGTCACCTAAGTCCTCCGCGCTCCATCTATGGACAACACGTGAGGTTCTATAGATCTGGGCGTGGGTGCCAAATGGTGCCTGTCCCAGAGAAGAAGCTTCTTCCAGGGGATGCGCCAGGGAGGGGCCATCACAAGTACAGAGCTGAAATACAGGTCAGATTGAGCCAGAGATACATAGACAATACATAGACCTGTTCCTCGTCCTCTCTGATTTTACACAGTATTTGTGTTAGTAGGCTCACTGGAGAAATGCATATTACGCACGCTCCGGGGTCAGCTGTACAGCCAGTGCACTAGAACGCACCCATAGCAGCTGGTCAGCCAAGAGTGGAGTCTCCATTTCCCTTAGGTGAACTGCCATGAGAGCGCATCGGCTGCATGGTTGAGCTCGGTGGGGAAGAATGGGATGCTGCGATTTTGCCGTATATGACTCTGGAGGAGCAGACGGCGAGCTAGTTGAGATATGCGGCGAAAGCAGATACCCCCCGTGCGATTGATATATGCCATCATCAGTGCTGTCCGTTCTGATCAGCATGCATGAGATACACTGCCAACAGCTCCAGGCAGTTAAAATGGCAATGCAACCAGGTTCCTACCATGGACCCACAGCTGCATGCCCGCAACACATGGCCCCCCAGCGCGTACTGGAAGCATCCGTCGAAACGACGACATGCCTGGACTCTGGTTCTAGTGGCCCGCAGGCCTGTAGAAATGCAGGGTCCATCCAGTGGCTAAGGGCACGGCCACACATCGGAGTGACAGCCAATTGTGAAGCCAGTGCTGAAGCAGTCTCATATGGAGCACCCGAGTGGCTATACACCGGCTGCAGATGCCATATGCTCCAGGAGCCTCTAAAATAATATCAGTGAGACCACAGTTTTCCTGTTGAACTCTTTCAGACAGGTCAGCATTAGCTCGGCGAGCTCTTGGGGGAGGCGCGTAACCATAGTGATCGAGTCCAGCTCCAACCCGAGAAAAGAGTTGCTCTGCACAGGGGCGAGCTTGCTCTCTTCTCGGTTGACCTAAAGCACCAATAGGTCAAAGTGTCGAAGCACCCTGTCTTTGTGCATAATCAATTGATATTGCGAGTGCTCTGAAATCAGCCAGTCATTGAGATAATTGATTATGCGGATGCCCGCGAGCCGAGGGGGCGCTGGGGCACCCTCCACGAGTTTGGTGAAAACCAGTTAAGACAGAGAGACCCCAAAGTGGAGGACTTGTACTGCCAGGCTAGACCTTCAAACGCAAAACGCAGAAACTGACGATGGCGTGGAAGTATGGAGACATTAAATACAATGAAGTACAGGCTGTAAAACCCGCTCTCCATCTCGGCTGGAGTGACCGGTTTGACAGCATATTTCACCAAGAGGACAGCAATCTGTTCTCGCAAGACAGGGGTAGACACAGGGCTGACCCTGTTGAAATACACGCCCGTGAACTTGGGAGGTCGTTTTGCAAATTGAATCACATAGCCGAGCCTGATTGTGCGAATGACCTGTTGTGATGCGCTGGTCAGCGTTAACTAGGCAGGCAGCGCCCCCGCAGATGGCTTTACTTGCACGAACATTGATGCACCAGCGGTAGTGCAGCGCGTAGTGGGCCGGTTCAACCTGTTAGTGCTGGGGTCACACGGGACAGCAGGAGATGAGAGATTCACTCTCGTCTTGCACCCAAACTCCGGAGGAGAGGCTGGGAGTGTGAGACAAAGGAGACCTTTCTCCTGCATTCCGCGAGCCACTGGCGAAGTGAACCAATCCTGTGAGCTGGAAGGCATAGCGTCCCAGATTGACAGTGTTTGGGCTGTCACATCTCTTTCTCTAAGGATTTGATGCCGTTTTTTTTGTGTTTTTTTTAACGCTGTTGAATTAAGAGCCCGGCCCTCGGGGAAAGAGCAAATTCCCTCTTTTCCAGATGGCCCGTCTCAGGGATGCTTTGTGGTCTGTTTACCGGACTTAGCGGCCCACTGGGATGGAGGTGCAGGCGGCGGAGAAGATCTCGGATCCCGCCAATAGATGACCTCACCCATCGCCTTCGACTGCTTCTTCACTGGCGTGAAAAAGGCCAGCCTGGGATATGGGTGTATTGAAAAAGCAAACTTTATCAACATCACGCATATCAGCCAGGTTTAGACAGAGGTGGCATTCCTGGACCACTAATGTGACCATCGTCCTTCCTAGGTCACATGCAGCCAACTTGGTGGTACGCAGAGCATAGTCGGTTGCGGTGCAAAGCTCATGCTCAGTCCTGGGTCAGAACCATCCTCGTGCAGCTGGGCCAGCACCTGCGCTTGGTAGCACTGGTAGGTGACCATAGCTGATGAGGGCGAAGGTGCACGCAGTGCGTGAGCTTACTGTGCATTTCTGGGAAGAAGGGGATGGGAGGATTAGAAGGTCTTGCCTTCTTTACATCCTCCACATAACACCCCTCTAGTCGGTCCGGCCAGGGGGCTGGGGGATAAACCATCTCCAGGCCCATGGCCAAAGCAGCCTGGGAAAGCACGGCCACCAAGTCTGCTTCTAGATCCGACGTCGCGCTCATCACCCCGGAGGGAGGGAGCGGGTTCGAATCCTCATTGGACATTGACAGCCCACCCTCCAAGGATGGTGAGGACCAAAGCGCACGCAGATCAGGCAGAAAAAGGTGCCCTCCAAGACTGTGTGAGCTTACTATGCACTTCCGCGAAGAAGGGGATGAAAGGCTTGGAAGGTCTTGCCTTCTTTATATCCTCCACATAGCACCCATCAAGTTGGTCTGGCCGCGGGGCTGGGGGATAGCCCATCCCCAGACCCATGGCCAAAGCAGCCCGGGAAACGCACGGAGTGACATCTTGAAAAAGACGTGCTGCACAACCATGTTGGTCTTTTAGGAAAACTTTCCGCTCTGGAGGACCGGACCCAAAGAATGTCAGGCAAGGGAGAAACCCAGGTTGACCGTCTGCCACTGCGTGTAAAAACACACTCTAGACAGAGAGAAGCCAGCTGCTTTCTCGTTCTCTCTCTGTAGACAGTTGGAGAAAACCCTCAACCACTCTCTCAGAAGTTTTTTGAAAAGCTCTGGAGTAAAAAGGTTGCCTCAGCTTGGCACGTGCAACGCTTTTATGACAAGCTTGATTGTTATTGATGCCAGCTTTGCATGCTGATGCCGCCAGCTCATTGGCCCATTTTTGTTCTTCAGCTTAGGCCCGATGGGGACCTAAGAGTTTACATAACAACATTTCTAACAACACTAGGACCTAAAGAAATAGACTGTCTCAAAGCTTACCTATAGCACGCACAAATGTTTCAGAGTTTAACAGAGCTATGAATATGTTGTGTTCTATTAGACTGGGTAAACAGAGATGTGCTATAACAACAGCCTAAAATGTATTTACAATGGTAAAGCAGCACTGCTTCTTCTCCATGTGATCATGAGTGGAAGAAGCAAATTTCAGGCTGTGTCATGCTTGTCTCTCATTAGTGGTCTCAATTATTAAAAATGGCTATTTTCATCTAAATTTTCTAATTATTTCAACAGATTCACATAAAAGTTATTTTCTTTTAACAATATAATGCATTGCACATTTGCATTCATTTATTAATATTCTACTGAGTTGTTATTTCATTTCATTCAATGCATGATATAGCTGGGGACAATGAATGCACTAATCTACATAAAAGTAATGCATTGATTGCAATATTTATATTAATGATATTTCAACATCAATACTGTTTCTCTAAATGATCACAAAAATTGGCATTTACCTGGTGATGTTATAGATTTGACGGTCTCACTGGCTTCACTCACTCCCACTCTACTCACTATCCTGTAGCGGATCATGCACTGCTTTCCAGACTCCAGTCCAGATAGAGTAAAGTCTTCATCAGTTGTGTTTATGACAAGCCACTGTTCTTCAGCTTTAGATTCTTCTTTTACCTGCTTGTACTCCACTCTGTACTGCTCTGTTTCTCCAGTTGGGGACTTCTGCAGTTTCAGGGACATGGTTTGTTCATGGACATCCTTCACTATCAGTGGTGGAGGTTTGGACACTGGCTGGAAATCTGTGCTTTTCAGTTTCCCTTTTTCATACAGATAGATGGAGGATCCTGGGCTGAGTGTATTAGATATTGCAGAAATAATGAAGCAGATTCTATTTTCATCTTTATTTGCCACTGACAAGCCTTTGAAAAGGGACAAGTTATCTCTCATCTTTGTTTTGACATCAGGATCATTGAACCACTTTGTCTCACAGGTCACTGAAACTTTGTTTTGTTCTTCATCTAACTTATTAGACTTGTCAGATTTTAGAAGCTTCTTCAGGCTTTCAAGATATGGGTCTTCATTCAGAGATGTGAGCATCAAGCACACCACAAAGTCAACATTAGGATCAAAGAGGACAGTGTTGAGATTGTCTGAATCTTCAATCTTGATCCCCTTAATGTAAGAACTCAAGAGGTTAAATTCAGACTTTGCATCTTTCAACCACTGCCTAAACATGCCAAGAAAGTCATGGTAGATCAACATTTCTTCTATTGATGTTTCCTTTATTTCTCCTCCTCGAATAGCAGACACAATTCTGCCAACTTCTTTCAGCATCTTTGCCTTATATTTATTAAAGGTTTTCTGAAATGACTGCAGCCTCTCTTGGATGTCGCTGAAATCATTTACCAGTGTATTTTGGGACAGGTCATTACATGTCCTCTCTACTTTTTCTAGATCCTCCATCATAAATTCAATGGAGGAAAGCAGACCTGTGCTTATGTTTGCCTGTAATTGAGCTGCCTTTGAATCCAGTAAATTAAGAGGATAAAGCCACACTTTAACTGGAACTGCATTCTTTGAATTATTCAGCAAAGAGGGGAGCTTCTTGTACAAATCAAGGGCCTCGATGTAAGAAGTTGGACTTTGCTCAAGATGAAAGTCACCGTAAAATGTGCAGGAGATGTTCTCAACCATATTTGTGTCATCATCTGTCATATTTACAGCTCCACTTCCTTCAATTGACAATGTGGGTATCTTCTTCACCATTAGATTCAGTTCCCCCGCAATCTTCTGCTTGTTCTCCTCTTCTGAAAATGTCCGATCAAACACCATAATGGCCTGAGCGCCATACAGTACAGCTGTGACCACATGAGTTGCAGTTTTCTGCTCAAACACCTGAGGGTAGGTAATGTTGTCCAGATGGTTCATAGTAAGCTGTTCAAATTTGGTGGTTTCACTGTAGTACATTGTAACTCTGGACTGTCTGTTTGAAGATTTGGTGTCATGCAGAAACTTGGCAGATCCTCCCACCTCCACCAGTCCTCCCAAGAAGCTGGCCTTTAACGAAGCACTCACATCCAGGAGACTGGACTTACTAGCAAAAGAGTCAGAGCTACTGAACTTCAAATCTGTCTGGGGCTGTGGATGACTGTCCAAATTTTCAGACAGTGAATTCTTATCCCACAGAGTTACACCTGAGGAGAAATGTGGCAGATGAACAGATGTAATTAACTGTTGAAGTAAATGTCCAGCTCATGTATTTCATGACTATTAACTAAATTCCACAAGTACTGTTTGTTTATTGACAAATGGGTGAAACTGAGTAAAAATCTTTTCATAAGACTAGGCACACCACCTGGAATGAAGGAATCTTTGCGGCAATCATACAGCATTCCAGGAAACAGAGGTCTTCCAAGAGCTGCCACAACAATATAATCTGATGCCATATCTATAGTAAGTAAATATAAATAAATACATTATTTGTAATATTAAAGTAAAAAAAAAATCCTAAAATCATTGTTACAATGCTGTTAAAGTCCAAACAGTATAAAGAAAGTTCTCACAAGCTACATACACAAAAAAACAACATATTCTATAATAATTGGATTAATGCTCTGTCAACTCGAAATCTGTCTTTAAACAAGACCATCAATATCATTAAGCTTTATCCAAATTAAATTTACAGTCAAATTAGAAAAGGTGGTGTAGATCTGAAATTTATGATTACAATATTTATTTACCAGAAACAAAAAAAAAAGTAAAAACAAAACAACAAGAAAAAAACGGCTGAATAGCTGACTTTGCAGTCAAATTTGTTACAATTATTTGATTTGTGAATGGTTACATGTCCATGTACCCTAAAAGGATGAAGTTTGGGATAACAAGGACTCTCCCTAGTGCTGGCCCACTGGACAAACTAAACTGAAGATCTGGGGTCCGCTTTTCGTACCTCACTTAAATGATCTGAGATGATTTGGCAGATCCTGGATCTTGTAATCTTGATAACTGATCTTTGGTTTATTTGGTTCTTCAAACAAGTTTGCGAGTCAGATTAAAATGTCTGGATGAACTGATCTTAGATCGCTGTGTGTGTTGAGAAGGACTGATCTATCAATCCTCAAAATCATGATCAGCAATGCAGCGATTGGCTGACATCATCTGATTAATATTCAATTATCCATGTGAGCAAAATTACATAAAATTCATAGTAAACGGTTTGTTAAATATGATGGAAATAACTTTCCAACTTTGTTGTGGGCTGCATGCTTTACATTTTCATGTGTCAAGAGTATTTAGCAATTTAGTTACTTTTACAGGATTTTCTTTATTATAGTAACCATAGTAGTATTATTGTAGCCGGTTTCTTAATTGATGTAAAGAATAACTGGATGTTCAATTTAATTTTGCATCACAAAAGCATTTTGATAATGGTAAAAGTGTCTTTAACTTTTGTGAAGCATCAAATCATTAATGCACATCAGTAACTCGCCAGTAACTTGTTATAAATGTTTGTCCCTGAAAGATAACATTGTAAATAACTGTATATCTGGTGACCACAATATTCAAATCTCTTGGAGGAACTGTAGTCAGAACTAAAGGTCACAGGACTGTGTTCACTGGAATCCTCCCAAGCGGTGGACTTCTACATTCTGATTGCTTGCCACCGAATCGCGTCATATCTCATTACCATAAAGTTGACTTGATTACAACTCTCCTCAACGCCCGCACCGGCGAAGATGCGCTGATTCTGACCACTTATTGCCGCTGGCTCCCATTGAAAACTAATAACTTTCTGCTACTTTGACAGTCTCGTGAAATTTTGTGTGAGTGTACAGTTTGAATAACAGGACTTAGAGAAAAATAGGAGACACGACTGCTTTTTTTTTATCTAAGGTATTATGTATGTCTTTAAATAAATGTTTTTGAGGCAAAGACAAGATATGGGGTTACACAACAATGCACAAAAAAGATTTTAATGATTATATTTTACAGTGAAATGCAGGGTTAAAGAGTGTGTACAAGCTGAAAATGCAACTTTTCTGTGTTTTAAGCTGTTTTTAACTAACCTTTTAACGTTATAGATTAAATTAGTAGTTTAAACAGTATAAAGGGCACTTACAGTTTTTCTCTATGGGTTTGATCATTTCTTGAAACAGAAATTACATTCTCAAAATTCTAAAATCATTTGGCAAAACAGTGTTTCAGTTTAGCACAACACTATAGCTCACTTGCAAAAGCTCATATCTTTCCCAAAACAGTTCACTCATGCATCAACACTAAATTGCTTTCCCATATAAAAAGTCAATGCCACAAAAATGGCAAATATCCTTCTCAATTGCTTTGGCTCATTTCTTGAAACGGACCAGGCATTCTCAAAACTCTTAGTGCTTTTGCTAAAATAATGTGAATGGTTCGGCACACCACCATGGTTCACCTGCAACAGCTCATACCTTTCCCAAAACAGTTCACTCATGTGTCAAAACTAAATTTCCTTCTCATTTAAACAGTCAGTGCCCCCAAAATGCTTCATCCCTTTATCATTGTGCAAGTCAAAACATTTAGATGTTCTGTCACTATGGCAAAGGACCACTAAAATATCCCTCATGTCCACTTTACAGTCTCAGCCCAGTCCTTTATTGTCAATGGTTACTGTACTGTTTCTGTCTAGCTAACAGAATACAATTGTGTATAAAAGTGAAGAAAAAAAAAAAGAAATAGGATTTTAGGGTAAGAGTAGCCTCCTAGGATTGACGTCACTCATTGCACTCATACTGCCAAGAAAATGGTAAGTCCTTTTTTTTATTATAATGATGATCAACCACACACAAAGTAACTTCCATATATCAGAGCAAAAAGAAACTGTATACAGCATAATAAACTGTAATATAAACACACAAACAAAAAACTAGTGCTATAAATAAAGCTTGAGTTTCATAACAGTTCTTTACTGCCTGCTGTCCTCACCCTTCTGACCATCCACACGCTGCAGTCTGTGTGGCCACAGATTCTTGTCCACATCACAGCGTATATTCACCCTTGCGATGCAACAAGGAAAGAAACGGTGTGAATGTCACAACTATCCTCTACAATGATCAATTGTTCCAAGGATTCACCTACTGTATGGTATTCATGGTATCATGGTCTTGACTAATTTTGACAATGGAACAAACTATTGTGTAATCAGTTTAGATCAACAAGATCTAATCACTTGGAAAATGTGCTAAATGTAGGCTATCTGTACTTAATCATTTGCAAAGATGTACTGAATGAGAAATTCAATTCTGTTGTGAACAATTTCCAAGTGGTTTGGAGGTTTGTCCATGTTGTTTTGAGAATGTAATTTCTGTTTCAAGAAATGAGCCAAACCAATTTATACATATTAAGTCCCGGGGACAGAAATAGCACAAATATGTTTAGTCATATAAAACACATCACTGCATGCAGCCAGTGACATTTAAAAAATACAAAATCACAAATTAAGTATTGGGGCGCATTTTAAATGCTCACTTTTACTTGTATATTTCATATTCTATCTTTAAAAAATTCTGTACTGTTTACAACTTGAAAACATTCTTACAATAAGTTTGTAGTCTACACCACATACATTACATTAATATGCCATGCAAACAACTTTACTGAATCAAAATAAGCAAACTGCCCTTTGAATTAAAATGACAACATTGTGTTATGATCTGCACAGTTAAAGTAACAGTTTACCAGTCTGTAGCAAAGGAGGCTCGGATGAACTGAATCAGAGATGACTTGGTTGAATGACTGCCTGAAGACCAGTGAAAAGGAGATGCCTGTACGCAAGACTCGAAATCAATGAAAAAGCAAAAACCCGTCTCGCAGAGCCAGTGCAAGCAGGGGTTGGGGGGTTGATGGGGTGTGGCGATTGCATGTGCGAAGGAGGGGGCACTTTCTCTCTAGGAGAAAAAAATGTGTCAGTCTCCACAGCCCTACAAAGTTTAATTCCAAACCTGCTTCAACACATATACCTGCAGGTTTCAAACAGTGGTTTCCAGAGAACTTGGTTAAATTCCGAAGGGGGCGGGGTTGGTGGTTAATTTGTGTGCAAAGTTGAAGAGTGGTGGAGGGAGAGTGCACTCTTAAAAAAAAGGTTCCTTGAGGTTCTATATAGAACCTTGGGTTTATACTTGGCCAGTAGAACCTTTTACCCAAAAAATGGTTCCATTTAGAACCCTTTGACTGCAAAGAACCTTTTTGAATAAAATGGTTCTATAATTTTTGAATCATAACATAATTATGTAGCAAAGATTATAAAATAATTATAAGCTACAACACAGAGAGACAAAGCTTTTTGAGTCAAAACCTAATAAAATGAATGCTGTGGTCAGAAACTTAATCAGTGTACAGTATGATGGGATTTTTTTTCATGCAGGTTTGTACAATAGCATATAACTTATAGGCCTAGTTTATATATATTCAATGTTTAACATTTTTGACAAATTATTTAGTGAAATACATAAAATGACCAATTTATTTAGACTGTGCAGTAACATGTTGTTATGGTTTAATAATTAATTTTAAACTAATAATCATAAAAAGCCCTCTGGTGACGTCAGTCATTGACAAGAACATCGTCATGGACCGGCGGTGAAGAGCCTCGAGAGTGAATGTTAATTTTTCGAAAGGAGAAGTCCTCTATTTCAGCTTCATCATTCAGGTATGTAAGTACATTTAATATATATAGTGAAATATTTTGTATTATGAAGTAATGTATCTATTTGATAGAAAATCCCTCGTGTTTTATGGTGATACAGACTGAATGGGGGTAGCGTTAATATGGATAAACACTGTGCTTGTGATGACCTTGGTCGTCACCCTTCTGTTCAGAAATCTGTTAAGTGTAATTTGTTCTGCTTTTTATTCGAAATAAGTTACAATATTGCTATACTTGTTTGCCAGTACTACTAATTAAATTACCGATAACAATATACAGCTGTGTTATTTCAAGGCGAGCTTCGAGAGAGCGTGAATGAAGCATGCCCTGCTGAAAAAAACAGCTTAAACCAGCCTAGGCTGGTTGGCTGGTTTTAGCTGGTCGACCAGGCTGGTTTTAGAGGGGTTTTGGCCACTTCCAGGCTGGTTTCCAGCCATTTCCAGCCTGGCCTTAGCTGGTCAGGCTGGGAGATGACCAGCTAAAACCGGCTTGACCAGCTTAGCCAGGCTGGGAGCCCAGCCAAAACCAGCTATGTCCAGCTTAAACCAGGCTGGTCAAGCTGGTTTTAGCTGGATTTAGCTGGTCATTTTCCAGCCTGACCAGCTAAGACCAGGCTGGAAATGGCTGGAAACCAGCCTGAAAAGGGCCAAAACCCCTCTAAAACCAGCCTGGTCGACCAGCTAAAACCAGCCAACCAGCCTAGGCTGGTTTAAGCTGGATTTTTCAGCAGGGTGTGCACGTGATTTTAAAAGTAACTTGATATGAGCCGATTTCATCGTGTTTTTCGTGTTGTTTTTAGCTCCAACCTTGAACAAACGCTCACTTTTAGCTTGGTTCATGTGTGTTTTATCAGGAATTGACCTAAACTCTGCAAAGTAGTGGACATAACTGCCCGCGGTTGAGACGGTCCGTGTAGCCGTAAAACCGCAAGGTAGCAGTGCTACGCTCGTGCCCGCACGGGCAGATTCGTGCCTTGAGTCTGTGCACGCGCGGGAGGCCAGTCACGGTGGCAAGTTCTCCCTATGGCCAGTCCGCCCCTGAATATTATTGAAACCTTTAAAAAGCCAAACATATTTTAACAATCCATAGACGAAAGATCAGGTCTTAAAGCAAAGGTCTTAAGATCAGGTGCTAAATAAGTTTAAAATAAATATTTTAATGTATATTTTATTTTTCTTTTAACAGCCTGAAAACTGAACTGCATCATAAAACTTGTGCTTGGTATGTATCGTTGTTTTAAAATCCAAACAAACTGTATTGTGGTCAGTAAAATGAAATGAATATTATAAAAGACTTCAAGATTGTATTTATCATTACAGAAAAGTGTCATGGGACCCATATTAAGTACCCAACTTTGATTTGCTTGACACAAGTAGCTTTGCAGAAGAAGGATTCCAGCTTAAAGAAAAACACGTGTCACATCCATAATTGTTTGACATCATCTTCAAGCACACCTGGTAAAGTATTGTATTTTATAACATGCATATTTCAGACTTGTTGGTTGTTGTGTACTGAAATAATATATTTATCACAAAAAATATTCTATTGCTTACTTCTGCTGTTTTAATACAGTAAGAATATTAAGGTTGTTGCTAAATAAAAAGTCCTGCAGAGAAGAAATATGTATTGAAAGGTGTAAATTTGCCTACAGGATTCCTTGTTGCAATGTCTTCAAAACAAATGTAAAAATGAAAGCATTAAATTGGTGAGCTCATAATGATGGGATCAAAAGGAAGTGAACTGGACTCTGAGGAACTTAACACAAGGTAAGTTCATTTCAATACATTTTATGTCAAGATTCATTATGAGATTTAAATTCATATTTACACACTCTACAAATGCTGTCTTCCTACCTCAGATTGTGATGGACCTAGAATGCAACACCGTTTACGAATAAGTCAAGAACCAAATGAAACACTATTTTCCAGAGCGCAGATTATGGAAGGGTCTGCAAAACTAATGGAGCAGTTTCTTCTTCTTGGAGTGCCACAGCTTGTGAGTAACCAAACACTGTTATATTGTGTGCCAAATAGATATGAAAAATCTGTGTATATGACGTTTTAAAGCTCATTTGGTAAAGCAATGCATTAGCAATGCCTAATGTGTTACAGGTCTCATATATTAATAAATGTATAGATTAAACACAATCTAAGCCCCTTTGGATAAAAGTATCTGCTAAATATGATGTATGTCAGGGGTGTCAAACTCAGCTCCAAAAGGGCCGAAGCACTGCACAGTTCAGTTCCAACCCTGCTCCAACACACTTACCTGTAGGTTTCAAACAAGCCTGAAAGACTCAATTAGTTTGATCAGGTGTGTTTAATTAGGGTTGGAACTAAACTGTGCAGAGCTGCGGCCATTTTGAAACTTAGTTTGACACCTGTGATGTATGTTATTTGATATACAGTTATTTTGTTCTTATTCTAATTTTATTGCTTTGTTTAATGTACATACTGAATTGAGGTCACTCAGAAATGTCAATTTCATTAAATTCTGTAACAAATGAAATGCAGATTAAATAGAAAATATATTACAGCTGTCTACTCTGTATTTATGTATTTTTGATGACTTTAAAGTACTTGTACTGCTGAAAATGTGTCACTTCGAAACTGACACAAAGTAAACAAAATGTTTTAATTTAGGATGCTGCATATAAGGACTTAGTGAAGAACACAGAAACATCTTTAAAAGAAATGGCCCAAAAGAAGGGAAGGAAAGAAGGAAGTGCTCTATGCTAGTCTCATTGGACCAGCAGAGGAAACCACAGAAGGTAACTACACTAGACATAACCCCCCATAAAAACACACTTTAATTGTATTAATTATAACTGTATTTCTATTTGACTTATGTTCATTGGTTAAAAGTACTCAGCATTATAATATTGTTTTACAGAAATCCAAAGGTCCTAACAGCTCTCCTGATTCCGTCAAGGCTTGAAGTGTCAGCATTACGTTGGCCTACACTCGCTCACTTGCCTTCCACTCCCTCATTTATCAGAGGCACCACAGTAGAATGAATTAGCAATTACTTTTCACTTTCCAGCCGCAACCCAGCTCTGGGAAACACCTATACACTCTCTCATACACCTGCACACATTCACTCACTGTGGCCAATTCACCAATACCATACGCATGCCTTTGGACTGTATGGACAACTGGAGCACCCAGAGGAAACCCACACAAACACTGGGAGAACTTGCAAACTTCACACAGAAACACCAACTGACCCAGTCGGGACTCGAACCAGTGACCTTCTTGCTGTGATGTGACAGTTCTAACCAGTGAGCCACTGTGCCACCCATTGACAAAACTATTTTTGTTTTAAGAGAGGCCGGCAAACATGGACATGCTACAAGTTGTGGAATGGCTGTTCTCAGTGTTTTGTCTAATCATTTTGTGATGTTTTGTATGCCATTAAGCACTTTCTTCAATAACTTTCATTGAAAATGATGTATAAACATGGATGTTGCCATGACCAATACATACATGTACCGTCAACTTGTTGAAATTGTAATGTTATTTAATAGATGTTTGTGTATTGTTTCTATCTGCATTGTGATATATTTTTCTACATTTTACAGATGTTTGAAAGTTAAGTTTTGTATTTGTTCAATCAGTAAACAAGCTTACAAATGTTTATTAAAAAGTGAAATCATTAGAATTAGATTGTTGAATGCCATTAAGCTGTTAATTATGTTTACTAATTAAATAGTAAAATGTATAATGTTTAGAGGTAGATCTTATACAAAGTAAAATTGCAGAGGTGCAATTTTAAATATTATTTACAAGTTATTTTGTTAAATAAATTGAATAAATTTAAACAATTTGAATTTTCTGCATTGGTTTTATTTTTTATTCAATAATAAATAACATTAATTCAATAATAAATAAAGAACCCTCAAATGGTTCTAAATAGAACCATGTAACTTGAATTCAAAGAACCATTTGATGTTCTATTTAATGAACCCTTAAAATGGATCTATTTATAACCTTTTTGGGGTTCCATATATGAAGCGCTTGATAGAACCATTTTTGGTTCTATATGGAACCTTTTTTTTTAAGAGTGAAAGAACCATTTGGGGTTCTATTTAATGAACCCTTAAAATGGTTCTACTTAGAACCTTTTTGGGGTTCTATATATGAAGCGCTTGATAGAACCATTTTTGGTTCTATATAGAACCTTTTTTTAAGAGTGAAAGAACCATTTAGGGTTCTATTTAATTAACCCTTAAAATGGTTCTATTTAGAACCTTTTTGGGGTTCCATATATGAAGCGCTTGATAGAACCATTTTTGGTTCTATATAGAACCTTTTTTTAAGAGTGAAAGAACCATTTAGGGTTCTATTTAATGAACCCTTAAAATGGTTCTATTTAGAACCTTTTTGGGGTTCCATATATGAAGCGCTTGATAGAACCATTTTTGGTTCTATATGGAACCTTTTTTTTTAAGAGTGTTACGCACCGTCTAGGGATGGTGCACAACATGAAAGACAAGACAACAAAATGAATTCAAAGATTTATTGGGGTTTGAATTCGGGAGCTGACAAGGCCAAAATAACAAACAAAAATTCCTTTATATTAAATCTCTAACTTACCTGATCACAAATAAAAGAAAAGAAAGTACAATTCACTTCCCTAACTACCTAACACAAAAACAGAGGCAAAAAGGTTTTACAAAGAAAATGGCGTCAAACTCCTTACTATCCCAATATATACACTATTTACAATCTATTTACAAAAACAGGCAACCATATTTGAAGGACAATCCAAAATCAATGTCAGCAGGCAACAAAGGTCAAACAAGCCGGTGGAACAAAGTATCATAAACAAAGCAAACACTAAAACAAACAGTACTCACAATTCTCAATATAATCTCAGAACTCAAACAAAACAAACAGTACTCACAAATCTCAATATTCTCTCAGAAGTCAAACAAAGCAAACAGTACACACAAATCTCAATACTCTCAGTCCTAACACATCCAAAAACTCTGCACTATACCACAATCAAACATTTCAACAAACACAAGCAAGTGACCAAAAACAAGATGGCTGCCAAGGAAGTGGTGTCATGGCTTTTTAAAACACTGTAGGCCAATCAGGATCAAGCAAGCTGGAAGTGGCCAATTGGATGTGTTCTAAGCAAAACAGGAACAAGAAAAAAAAACAGATGAGACAAGACAAACATAGGATTGTAACACCCCCACACATAAGTGTAAACATGGTTACAAGTTTACAAATGTGATCTAGACAATGAATCTGCAATTATATTGTCAGTACCTTTCTTGTACTTAATTTGTAAATTAAAACTTTGACAAATGAGAGCCCACCGCATCAGTCTTTGATTTTTGTTACACATTTGCTGAAGAAACACAAGTGGGTTGTGGTCAGTAAATACTTCAATGGGTTTTGGACTGGATCCGACATATACTTCAAAATGTTGCAATGCTAACAAAAGAGCTAGTGCTTCTTTTTCAATGGTACTGTAATTAACCTGATGACGATTGAATTTTTTAAAATAGAAACACACAGGATGGTCGATTCCTTGTTCATCTTCTTGTAGCAGGACAGCACCGGCCCCCGTACCACTGGCATCCACTTCAAGTTTAAAAGGTCGGGTGAAGTCTGGGGCAACTAAAACAGGAGCATTACACAACAAATTTTTAAGACATTCAAAGGCAAATTCACACTTAGAGTTCCAGCTGAAGGGTACATCTTTGCGAAGGTTATCAGTTAGAGGTTTTACAACATCAGAAAAGTTTTTACAGAAATTTCTGTAATAACCAGCCATTCCAAGGAATCGCCTGAGGTCTCTTTTAGTTTTGGGCACAGGAAACTCAACAATTGCCTGAACTTTAGCCCCTAGAGGGCGAACAGTACCATGACCAACTTCTTTTCCCAAGTATGTTACAGTGGCATGACAGAACTCACATTTAGCTAAATTAAGAGTAAGATTAGCTGCTTGAAGTCTTGAAAATACTTCCTCCAGTGTTTGTAGGTGATTACCCCATGTATCTGAGTAGCATACCACATCATCTAGATATGCTTCACAATTTCTTACATTAGCCAATACTTGATTCATCAAGCGTTGAAAAGTAGCTGGAGCGTTTTTAAGGCCAAAAGCTAGAACTTTGTATTGTAAAAAGGAGTCTGGGGTGGCAAAGGCTGAGATTTCAGAAGCACGCTCCGTGAGCGGCACCTGCCAGTATCCTTTAAGCAAGTCTAACTTGGTCACAAATTTAGCACTTCCAATGCGATCAATGCAATCCTCCATTCTGGGAAGAGGGTAGGAATCGGATTTGGTTAATTGATTCACCTTTCGGTAATCTGTGCAAAAGCGGGAAGTTCCATCAGGTTTTGGAACCAACAAACATGGAGAACACCAGGGACTACAGCTTGGCTCTGCCAAACCATTCTCAACTAGATACTGGGTTTCTTTTTTCATTATTTCACGCTTGACTGGATTCACACGGTAAGCATTCTGCTTTACTGGACGATGGTCACCAACATCAATGTCATGCATCAACACACTAGTCACAGTTGGGACATCTGAGAAAATACTAGAATACTTGTCAATTAAGTGTACAAGCTCACTTTGAGATGAACTTGGCAAATGGGAAAGTTTTGAGGCAAGAGATTCTAAAGTTTCAGAATTTTGCAATTTAGCACCAGAAAGATAAGCACTTCCTAAATGAAGATCATCTAGGCAAGGAGAATACTCTGGAGAAACCACATCTATGGATGTTACAACAGCAGGAGTTACCACCGGAGAACTGACAGAGTCTTTACAATCAGGGCGAGAGACATACAATTTAAGCATATTGATGTGGCATATCCGAGTCTTTCTTCTTCTTTCAGGAGTTTGTACGACATAATCAGTTTCACTTAATTTTTCCTCAATCACATAAGGGCCTGTGAATTTTGCTTGTAGAGCAGAGCCGGGTAAAGGCTGCAATACCAGAACTTGATCACCAACCTTAAATGAGCGTTGGACAGATTTCTTATCATATCTGCTTTTCATTCTGGACTGAGAGGTTGCTAACGACTGTTGTGCTAGTTTCCACACTAAATGTAAACGTTCACGAAATGAACTCACATGGTCCAATACATTCTTAGGAGGAGTGACTGACTGACCTGTAGAAAGTAACTGTTCTTGTAACAGTTTCAGTGGTCCGCGAAGAGTATGTCCAAATACTAATTCAGCTGGGCTGAATCCAAGTGATTCCTGTACTGTATTGCGAATAGCAAACAATAAAAGTGGGACATCTTCATCCCAATCTTTCTCACGTTGGACACAGTAGGTTCTGATAAGGGTTTTGAGGGTCTGATGAAACCTTTCAAGAACACCCTGCGACTGCGGATGGTACGCACTAGAGACACAATGTTGAATGTTTAGCTCTTTCATGACCTTACGGAAGATTCTTGACATGAAATTTGACCCTTGGTCCGACTGAATAAACTTTGGCAGGCCAAATGTGGTACAGAACTTCACAATTGCCTTCACAATGGTTGGAGCCTTTAAGGAACGCAGTGGGATGGCTTCAGGAAACCTAGTAGCAGAACACATCAAAGTTAACAAGTAGGAGTGACCAGATTTAGTCCTTGGTAAAGGTCCAACACAATCAACTACAAGTTTCTCAAATGGCTCAGTCATTACTGGAATTGGCTTTAAGGGAGCTGGGGAAATAACCTGATTTGGTTTGCCAGCAACCTGACAAGCATGACAAGATCGACAATAGTGAGACACCGTAGACTTCATTCCAGGCCAAAAGAAATGTTTCAAAAGATTGTTATAGGTCTTCCTTATACCTAAATGACCAGACAATTCATGGTCATGAGCCACACTTAGCACATATTCTCTGTAATCTTTTGGAATGACTACTTGAAATACAGAGCTCCAGTCACCCTTCATGTTTTCTGGACTCCACTTGCGCATAAGTACCCCGCCATCAAAAAAATAAGCAGCTGGATGATTGGGTAAGTCAGATATCTCAATCACAGCAGCAAAACATGACTTCAACGTATCATCTGC